CTCCTTCCATCCACCCAGGCCTCCTCACCTCCTTCCATCCACCCAGGCCTCCTCCTCTCCTTCCATCCACCCAGGCCGGGCCCATGACCTATGGGGCAGGCGCGTGTCCCTCTGACACCAGCCCCACAGGCCCAGCTCCGTGTTCACTTGGCACTTTTTGTGCTGGAATCCCAATCCAAATGATTAATACTCGCTGATATGTTTTCTAAATCTAAAGTAGTCCTTCAGTTTCCATGCCTTCAAGCCTGACCTCTGTCCATCTCTACCAGGGGCAAAACAGCTAAACCTCTCAAGAGACTCTAAACTGCTACTGTAATTCTTTTCAATTGCTTGAATATTTCAGAATATAAACAGCTGACCACACTGGTCAACAACCTTGGCCTGACATGCTTTTCTATGCAAACTGTCACTTGACAAGATAAACACGTCAGAAAAGACACATGGGCCACTCTAGCCGGCTGTCCCTCTCTATTCTGATCCCCAACACAGATCTCCACATGATGGAAGAACACAATCAAGATGAAAATGTGAAGGCTATAAGAAATGTCCTCATTACCTTGCCCATGTAATTGTAACTCCTCTGTACAGTATTTTCACAGTAAAAAAATCTTAAAAAAAAAAAAAAAAAAGAAAGAAAAGAAAATGTGAAGGCTGAGATCTGAGGATCACAGTGCAAAGCCAGCCCAGGGAAAAGTCCATGAGATTCTTCACCAGAAAACCAGAAGTGGCGCTGTGGCTCTAGTGGTAGAGCACTCGCCTTGAGCTGAAGCGCTGAGGGACAGCGCCCAGGCCCAGAGTTCAAGCCTCACAACAACAACAACAACAAATTAAAACTTGAGCTGGGTGGGAGTGGCTCACCCCTGTAATCCTGGCCACTCAGGAGGCTGAGAGCAGAGGACTAAGGTTTGAAGCCAGCCCAAGCATAAACTCCATGAGACTCATATCTAATTAACAAGAAAGAAAGATAGACAGACAGAAAGAAAGAAAGGAAGGAAGGAAGGAAGGAAGAGAAAGGAAGGAGAAGAAAAGAAAGAAAAGGAAAAAAGGAAGGAAGGAGAAGAAAGGGAGGGAGGGAGGGAAAGGGTGACAGACAAAGGGGAGAGGAAGGAAGGAAGGAAGGAAGGAAGGAAGGAAGGATGGAAGGAAGGGAGGGAGGGAGGGAGGGAAGGAAGGAAGGGAAGAAAAGGAAGGAAGGGAAGGAGGGAAGGGAGGGAGGGTAGAGCATTATCTTTGAGCTAAGGCACAGTACCCAGACCTGAGTTCAAATCTCAACATACACAGATTAAAACTCAGCACTGATCCTCTGTCCTTGCAGTGCAGTAGGCCCCCACTGTCAACTGCTCTGTCTTCAAAGAAGGAGAGGGCAGATCCTGCCCAACGAGAGAAGACGAGGTTAGAAACACAGAGTGCAGCCGAAGGCAGCCTCACAACAGTGCTCAGGTGAGTGCAAACGACCAGGCGACACAGTCTCACAGACAAGCCGCCCTTGGAACCAGCTGCCTGTGAAGGCCTCGGCGATGGACTGTAATATGGTTCTAGAAGGAGTGCAGCCCAAGGGAAACCACACGAGGAAGGCCAGCGCGGGGGACCGCAGGGCCCATGGAGACCGCGCCTGACTCGAAGGGTCCTGGCAGCCGGGGCAGCAGAGCGCCAGCTCCTCAAGTCCAACCGCTCTGACTTTGACACGAGTGTCCATGTACAGTTAGTGCTACCTGTGCCAGGTAGTGAGCTGCACTAGACGCCTTGCGCACGTGCTGTAACGCAAGTTACTTCGAGCTCAGAGCACGGGTAAGCGCTGTTGACCCTCCCTGGACATGAAAATTTTGTTTTTACTTTTTAAATGCAAACATGCACATATTTCCCGTAATGCCTGCCAGAAGACCTGTATTTCTGGGTAAATCTTAAAGAATAAAAAAAGTTGTAGTTCTTAAGACACTCATCGAGATACGAATTGATTTTTCAAAATGTATACCAGTTTCAGCTGTATACAAGCCAGTAGTCTTTGAAGCCTCTGACGGGCCGACTCATCCTGAAAGACAAGGGGTGCATGGAACAGTGCGGCCAACAAGCGGCGCTCTTTCCCTTCTGGGACAAGAACAGTACAAGGACATGCGGGAATATAAGCAGTATTATCTCACCTCCCTCTCTCCTTATACATGGTTCTGGGCCCTCACCTCACTTTGGCTTTTCCCGAGAGCTTTTTCTTGGAAATATATCTAAACTGGAGAAACCAGAGTCCCTGGGGCCTTGCCATGCATGCTTCTTAGGAGCTTCCCCTGAGATACCAATGTGTGAGAACTTGAGCCGCGTCTGCATTTCGCAGGAGTGATGCTGACTGCAGCTGTCCCCGGGGTCTGCACTGAGGGATGGCTGAGCTCAGGAGGAAGTGGGTGGAACCACACTCTGACCCTGGGGCCCTAGATCCAGCTCCCTACCTAACTGCTGAAATGCCCATGATACTAAAATGCACATTGCAAATCTGTCCTGGGATTTGCGCAAAGTCAAGCGATGCAGTTTTGCAATCCTGCAAACTAATAGGTGGTGGGATCTATATTGGGCCTATGCACACCGCATAAAATAAGATCTGACAAAATGCACCATATGTTAAACCGCATCTGGTGAGATTACAGCTTCGCCTTGCTGCGATGTCAGAAATCACACCTAACCATGCAGTGTTAAAATACCGAGATTGCAAAAATAACGTATCTTGCCATTTTAGAAAAACAGAATTCAATTTAAACACTCGTGGTAGAATTAACTTCCAAAAAGCGAATGCTAGCAGAGATTGTTCAGTAGCAAATCTTCTTTCCAAGGTGCACAGTGATGCGCTGCGGGCTTCCGTACGTTCTGCAGCTGAGCCGTAGTCCAGCTGGCGGGGGGGGGGGGCATGAGAGCAGAGCAGGGAGGGCTCCCCCAAAGAGAAGGGCCACTCCCAGGGTGCTCTGAGAGTTTTACCTGAAACATCGCTGGGGCCGTGTTTCAATCCCTCCATACTTTGTGGTGGCTACAATCACTGAACAATGTATCAGTGGCGTTCTGTATGGATCTGATGGCCTTTACTAAGAATAGTGACTGTTCCTGGATCCTCATGGAAAACTTGATGCCTAACGCATCTAGTAACCTCTCTGCATCTAGGAGAGCCGGGAGCCCCCACCCCACCCCACCCCACCCCACACTCAAGGCCTCCTACTTGCTAAGCAGGTGCTCTACCACTTGACGGATAATTCCAGCCCTTTATGCGCTGGTTATTTTTGAGATGGGCTCGCTTTCCAGACAGGCTAGCCCGGACCGTGATCCTCTTGTTGATCCTTCCTGCCACAGCTGGGGTGACGGGATCACCACCACACCCAGATGCTGAGCTGGGGCTCCACTAACTTTTTCCCAGGCTGGCCTCCCATCTTGAGCTTGCCCACCTTTAACTCTTGAATACATACAGGCATCAGCCACCGCACCGGTGTGAGAACGGGGAACTTGGCATTTGCTGAGCACTTACTCCATGCCAGATACCCACATTTCATCTTCACCACAACCCACTGAGGCTTTCCAGATGGACAGCAAGGAGACGCTGGCACGGGAGCCATGGCCTCCAGCACAGCCCCGCAGGTGTGTTGTTCTGCTTTTGCCCCCCCCCCATGTGGTCACCAAGTCACAATACGGGTGCAGCCACCACTGCCTACAGAGGCCAATGCAGCTACCTCGTAGCAGACAACCGGGAAGGGTGTTGGGCTGACCCACCCCCACCCTGAGGAAAGCAAAGGGTGAAACACAAATTGGATCTAGATATGTTTGTGGGGATTTGTTAGCTCAAGAGCTCTGCCTGTACAGAAACCAAGACAGGAGCGTTCTCAAGAATGGACCTCTGGGGCTGGGAAGGTGGCTCAGTGGTAGAGCGCTTGCCTTGCATGCCTGAGACCCTGGGTTCAATTCCTCAACACCACATAAGCAAAAAGAAAAAACCCAGAAGTGGCGCTGTGACTCAAGTGGTAGAGCGCTAGCCTTGAGCTGAAGAGCTGAGGGACAGCGCCCAGGCCCAGAGTTCAGGACCTACAACCGGACCCCCCCCCCAAAAAAAAAGAATGGACCTCTGGCTCGTGGTTTCCAGTTTGCAATACTCATATGTTTAATTCTTTATGAGTTCATTTTAAAAGGTTCTTTGGAAACTTTGCCCCCGTAAAAGACATCTGGAAGAATAGACACAGAACACTGTTCCCCCAGGTTGAACCCTAGCTGAAAATGACCCTGCTCTGTTGGCGGACTAGGAGCAGCTCAGCAGGACCTGGAGTCCACACAGACGCTGCGCGGCTACTTCTATTTCTGTGTCAATGTGGAGAGAAGAGCCGAGCCCCAGCCACTCCCCCTTGTAAAGCCCAGCTACTCAAGAGACTGAGATCTGAGGATCCTGGTTGGAAGCCAGCCCAGAGAAACAAATCCAAGTTAACCAGCAAAAAGCTGGGGGGGGGGAGGTCAAGAGGTAGAGCACCAGACTAATCCAGGGCATAAGGCCCTAAATTCCAGCTCTGGTACTAAGCCCCAGTACGCGCGCGCACGTGCACGCACGCGCGCGCGCACACACACACACACAGAGTGTGGCCCCTTCTGCCTCCCTACAGAGAGACAGCAATGTGTCTGTTCTCTAAGAGCCCAGGAAGCCGCTGCTGGGCGGCGCTATCATTGCCTAGCATGACCAAGCACCACACCCCACATTTTCTTTAAGGAAAGCAGGGAAAGGCCCTTCAGCCCAGTTCTCACACCAGTGACCCCATTACCCTGGTCTCTGCTTGACACTTCTCATCAGAGAAATACCATGACAACCTCCTCGTGGCCGTGTGGAAAGCCTGCCCTCCGATCGCACACCAGCCATGATGTTTACTTTGCTTTGATCCAGAGGTGGTACTGCCTGAGGCTTTTCAGATACCTATGGGTACGGGAACCTTTAAAAAGAATTACTATGGGAGGTCAAGGGCTGGTGACTCACACCTCTACTCCTAGCTCTTCAGGAGGCTATGACCTAGAGGATTGCAGTTTGAGGCCAGGCCAGACAGAAAAATCCAAGAGATTGTATTTCCAGCAAAAAAGCTAGGCTGGAGGTGTGCATCCGTCGTAGGGCAGCAAGCACAGACAAGTAAGCTGAGCAGGAGCAAGGCCCAAGTTCAAGCCAGCAAAGAAAAATAAATCAACTATGAGGAGATACGAGCAGCCTATTACTCAGAATGATGTCAAGCTTATGGTTTGATAGCTGCTACGGGATGTATTGGTGTGGGTCAGAAGACTACAGAAGATCAAAGCTGACCTATGGAGCCAGGCGTGGAATGCACGCCTGCAATCCCAGTGCTCAGGAGGCTAACGCAGGGGAAATGTGAGCTCAGGGCCAGCCTGGCTACACCAGGAGACCCTGTCTCAAAGGAAAAAAAGAAAGCAGAGCTACAAGCGATCTCAGCGCCTGAGCCTGCAATGGTGCCTTGCTCAGGCGCCTCATCCATTGGTACTGCTGGGGCTCGAAACATTGCCAGCGGAAGAAAAAGAGGCTAAGTGTGCTGCATAATTGGGAGGTTGCACTTCGTCTGAAAAAGCAGGGGTAAATGGCTATGACTGCCATGTTTTTAGTTCCTCAAAGAGAAAGGAAGTTCACCGGGAGTTCACTAGGAGGCATCAACTGGCTTAACCAACACAGGCACCTAACGGCAACGTCCTGTGTGTGGCAGGCTCCCGGTGAGAGCTCTGTGCGCAGGCGCGCCCGGGCCCCTGTCCACCATGCTGCCCGCCTCTGCGCTGAGCCGCGGGGCTACACCAAACCCAAGTGTGGATAAGGCCCACAAAGGTTCACCCACCAGCCTGAGGCAGAACTGGGTTGTTCCTAAGAGATAGAGGAAACCCTGAAAAGCCATTGTCGGCCCGGGGTCAATGCACTGCCTGCAGGCCAGGCTAGCCCGGCCGGCGTGGCTCACACGCCGCGCGCGCGCTCTGCGTGGACAGTTCAGAGCTCGCTGTGTGGAGAGAAGAAGGCGGCTGCATCGCCAGCCACCTCAGCACAACCTCCCTGTCAGCTGTCACCCGGCAAGTTAGTTCCGTCAGAAAAGCTCCCCTCAGGGGGAGGAAAATCTTATTAAAGACTACAAAGTACAAAGAGCTTTTTCTCAACTCACTCTGCATTTCATCGCCAACTTTTAGAAAGATCTAATATTATCACAAACTGTCACCGGCAGACAGCCTCTAGAAGAACGACAGAGGTCACATGACTTCCCAAGAAAGGCAGATGGGCATGTGAGACGAGGCTTTCCCCGCAGGACCTGTGCGCCTCATGGCAGCTACCCCGGCCACCCCAACGCCGCCAGGCACAGTGTGGCAGGCCTGGAGGGGCGGGGACGGTGGAAGGGACCACCTGGACTCTGTGAACAGGGTCTTCATGAGGAAGGAAGCAGGTCCAAAACCAGATTCGGGATGACTACACTGGAGACAAACCATTTGTCTTACATTCAATGTTACTGTAAATTCTAGAACACTGGCAGGAGGTTCTTTTCATGATCAAAACGCACAGAAGGGCCGGGCGCTGGTGCTCACACCTGTAATACTACTCAGGAGTAGTATCTGAGGACAGTGGTGCAGAGCCAGCCCAGGCAGGCAATTATGGGAGACTCTTTTCTCTAAATAATCACACACACAAAAAGCTGGAAGTAGAGCTGTGGCTCAAGAAGTACAGTGCAGCCCTGAGCCCCCCCCCCAAAAAAAAATTCAGGGACAGCACCTAAGTCCTAAATTCAAGTCCCAGGACCAGAATTTTTTTGAAAAAGGGTAAAAGGATGAGAAAATTTGCATCAAAAGTCTTACTTTCTTTGTTCTCTAGAGCAGTCACACTAACAAGTAAACTGTGATTCAAAAATGCAACAAAGCCAGGCTCACGCCTAATAATCTAAGTACTCAGAAGGCTGAGATGTGGAGGAACACAGTTCTAAGCCAGTGCAGGCAGAAAAGGCTGAGAGAATCCATCTCCAAAACAACCAGCAAAAAAGCCAGGCTGGAAACATGGGTCAAGTTGTAAAGCACTGGCTCAGCCAGGGAGCCAAGCAAGCATGAGGCCTTGAGTACAAATACCAGTACCAGCATGGACACACACACACACACACACACACACACACACACACA